CACGGGCGCAATTTTCGACGGATTTGCACCAAAATTTACATGCACATGCTCCAAGTTAGCGGGAAGGCTAAGACTGAACTTGCATTTCCCAACTCCCATCGATAGTGGAAATAATAGATTTTTTCATGCTTCTACGGCAGTTTTCATGTAGTTTGCGGCCATTTTGTACTGGCCAGAGTGAGAGCCAATAGCTGGCTGCCACGAATAGGCAAGAAGATTCTATTGGCCAGCGTGAGAGCCAACAGCTGACTGACACGAATGTTAACTAGCATTTAAAAAAAAAAAATCGATAGCTGCATTCGTCACAAAAGTGGGAAAAAATTTAAATCTGCATGGCACTTTACTCCAATTGGCTCATTCGCTTGCTTAAACTCAACGTTGATTCTGATTCCGCAGAACTGGGTTGGGTGTGAAAAGTATTTGTTGTTAACATTCTTTTTTTCATTCGGTTTTCCAGTTACGAGTCCTTTTTTAAAGCTGATCGTTTTGTGTTCATTTTGTTTAGTTCTTTTTTCGTAACAGATTTAATGTTTAGTATAGAGCTTAGAAAAAAATCGCAGTGTGAGATAGGCAAGAAGTAAGGCATGTAGCAACATCAGCACGGCAAGGGCACTCATTTAAAGGCAAGGAAGGGCAAACATATTTTAAGTCAAGTGATAGCGATTGCTGTATGAGTCGTACGATTTTGGAATCAAGCACGGGCAACGCCGGGCCATACTGCTAGTATGCAATATATGTGAAAAATTCAACTAGAAAAATGAAAATAAATACAATGTATCTAAATACAAATGACATGTCATAATATATACTTCCATATTAAATAAATCAACGATGTTTTGCGGCAATTTTTAATATCAACTTGAGATTTTTCTCGTTAAAAAGTTGAATAATTTTAACACATTCAACATTATGGATAAAAAAAATAGAAATTTATATAGAATCTTGTATTGTTTTTCAAGACTTAGCATGAGAAAAACAAATTCACGTCGTCTGTACTCTTTTCCACAAGTGATGTAATTTAATCTCCAATAAACGAAAGTGAGTCAATGATGTTGTTGAATTTTTTTAATGTAATTAATATTTAAATTATTATATTATGGGATAAACATCAAAATCAGAGGAAATGTTTTACCCTTTAATAATACTAATAATCAGATGTGCTTAGTTTAATTTCTTACGTATGTATATATTCCTACAGTATTCATATAAAATACAAATTTTATTGTAATCTAATTATGTACAATAATGGATCAGAGGCAATATATGTGAAAAATTCAACTAGAAAAATGAAAATAAATACAATGTATCTAAATACAAATAACATGTCATAATATATACTTCCATCTTAAATAAAACAACGATGTTTTGCGTTAATTTTTAATATCAACTTGATATATATATATATATATATATATATATATATATATATATATAATATTAGACGGCATATATTTTATATATAAAGAAATAATCATACATAGAATCAATCAGCAATATTAATGCGATTAATGGCGAACTCACTTCGTTAGTAGAAATATAATGTACGCATTAAAATACTGTTAATCTATTGAATGATGTGATCCTCATTTATAAAACTGTTGTCAGATGTTTCTAGTGTATATTTTTTAAGTTAAGCAAGTACTTTCAAAGATCCATGTCTTCATCGTCAGGCTGTAATTTTTTTCCTTTAAAGTTAAAACTTGAAGACGAATTAATTGTTTGTAGACCGAAAGATGTTTTTTTTTTTTTTAAGAATGTGGGGTATCCGAGCCTTTAGGGTCGGCAAAACGGGTTCGTGTAGCTGTTTTCCGAGACGAGACTCTGCCCTTCGACATAGCCTCGTCTGGGGATCTTCTCTGACGGAAGCAGAGAGTTTGACCAGCACAGCTGGAGTAGAATCCCCAACTTCAGGATATCTACCAACCGCCACACACTGTCAGATTTGACACAAGGCCGAATTTAATGTGGGGTATCCGAGCTCGTAGACTTGGCAAAAAATTCCCCGCAGACCCCGTATAAAATGGGGTCGGGTAGCTGTTTCTCCCGACCAGATTCTGCCCTTCGATATAGCCTTGTCTGTGGATCCTCTATGCTCAGAGGCAGAGAGTTTGACCAGCACAGCTGGAGACAAATCTCCAACTGCAGACCAACATACAGTATTTACTACTGTATTTATGTGAATGGGGACATACCCATTGTCGTCCGTAGGTATGCTACAACAGTAACATATATAATGTTTTTCTGAGCGTTGCGTAGATGCGACACAAGGCCGAAAGTATGGGGTATCCAGTAAAAGTATGGGGTGGTCAGTTATATCGCCAAAAGAATTGCGACTGAGTAGTGAACTTGTTGGTGGTTCGGTGGGTAGTACACTCCGGTCTCCAGGAACTCACTGAAAGCTTTCCAAAATGGAGACATAAAAATCAACCCATTTCGATGTTCCCAAATTTCAAGTCAGAGATAAATACATTCACTATGGTTCTTGTGATAACATGAGGGACATTTCCTTTTATTAATTGTTCAGCGATCACAAGGCCCAAAATCCACTCAAGGTAGTGGGTTACTGAATGAGGTTGTTGTAAGGCCGTAGGAGCGCGTTTTATGGTGATATGGAGGAAAGAAAACAGCTGACCCTAAACAAGAAAAAGTTAAGATTGTAATGATCGAGGTAGCATCCTCTCGGGAGTCCGTTCTGCAAAAATAGAAAGAAAAAAAATGAAAAAAGAAAAAAAAGGCCAAGATCAAAAGACAGAAATAATGAGAAGAAGGTTAAGAAAGAAATGAACAAAAGAAAAAAAAGAAACAGCAAATAAAAGTGTAAGAGAAAGACGAGAAGAGAGAAAGGAAGAGAGAAGGAAAGACAGAAGAGTAAAGACGAAAAGAAAGAAAGAGAAAAGAAAAAAGTGCAAATGAAAGAAAAAGAGCCAAAAAAAAAAAAAAGAAAGAATGAAATTGCAGACAAAAACGAAGTGCAAAAGAAAGAAATACAGATGGAAATAATTAAATAAAGAGAGAATGTAAGAAGAAAGAAAGAACGAAAGAAAGAGTAAACAAAAGAAAGAAAGAAAGAAAAAAGAGCAACGGAGTAAAAGAAAGAAGAAAAGGAAAAAAAGAATAGAATATCAGAGAAAAAAAAAAACAATGGAAAAATGAAAGAAAGAAAAGAAAATAGACGAATTAAATCTAAAAAGAAAGAAAGAAGAGGAAAATACAAAAGAAAGATAGAACGACAAAAAAGACAGAGAGAGAGGGTCAAGAGAAAAATGAGAATTAAATATAGAAATAAAGAGCAAAAGAATAAAAGAAAGAAAGAAAAAAGAAAAAAGGAAAGAAAGAAGGAAAGGGCAAAGGGAAAAGTAAGAATTAGACATAGAAAAGTAAGATCAAGAGAAAGAAAGGAGAAAGAAAGAAAGATAGAAAGGGTAAAGTGAAAAGTAATAATTAAATATAGAAAGAAAGAAAGAAAAAGAAAGAAAGAAAAAGGAAAGAAAGAAAGAAAGAAAGAAAGAAAGAAAAGGCAAATTGAAAAGTAAGAATAAGACAGAAAAAAGATCGAAAGAAAGAAAGAATAAAGAAAGAAAGAAAGAAAGGGATAAGTGAAAAGTAATAATTAAATATAGGAAGAAAGAGCAGAAAGAAAGAAAGAAAGAAAGAAAGAAAGAAAGAAAAAGGAAAGAAAGAAAGAAACAAAAGGCAAATTGAAATGTAAGAGTTAAATACAGAAAGAAAGAGCAAAAGAAAGAAACAAACAAAGAAAGAAAAAGAAAGAAAGGACAAAGAGCAAAATAAGAATTAAATATAGAAAGCTCAAAAGTGCAAAAGAAAGGGCAAAATAAATAAATAAAGAAAGAAAAGATAGAACAAAAAAAGAAAAAAAAACATGGCGGTATCTAGGTTACATTCCATTTTGGCTTCATCATGATTTTCATTCTTCTAATTTTTTTTTCAACTTTGCTCCTGCACTTGACACTTCTCGGAGGTGTGGTTTCCTTCATTAGTCCATTTTGACGATCAACCCAATTGTCTCCTTTGCAAAACTTATTACCCAATAAATATCTAAACTTCACATACATACTACACTCATTAGGACCCTGACAACAAAAGTAGAATGAGATCACAATGTATTCAGTGAGAATTTCATGGCGAGTTAAGCCCGAGACTAGATGCTAGTAGTGAGGCAAGGACGAACTCTCTCTCATCCCTCCATCTTTCAGGTCTTTGAGCGATCATGGGTCTCCCTTACTTCCTTCTTTTATTGCTACAAATAATTCTTTCTCTTTTACGATCAGTATTACCCTGCTTATGATCATGTTTGGTCGTAGGGTCGCTCTGTACGGTGGAGTAAGTCCATTTGAGTTCATTATACTGTTAATAATCGGAAAGAGATAGCTACATTTTTAGGACACCTAATGAGGAAAGGAGGCTCAGAAAATATGGCACTCACAGAGCATATTAAAAGCAAGAAAAGCAGAGTAAAGCAGCGAATAAACTATTTGACGGGTTGGAATAATTCGATAGATCAGCAAAGTCAATATCAATCGTCAGTCTCATGATCAGATGTGGTCGTAGGGTCGGTGCGTAGCTGAACATCAAACCATTTCCCTACAAACATCTGGATTATATTAAACACTGGATGTTTAGTCATGCGCAGTGTGACTTGGACAAGTGGACCTGACGGAGCCCGTCTCTATCCAGGTCAAACCACAACCGATGTCTTCCAACCTGAAGACATAGCCGTTGATTCCATCGGGGATAGCCTCCACCCTGGCCATTGACTTCAGTCCAGGAAGGCCTTTGACCAACCATGACGTATCATCACCGCACTGGGGTCATCCATAGCTATGGAGCCCAGTCTACTCTTAGATAGCTGTTGAGCCTCCAGGAACATTCATCTTTACCAGAAAAGCCTGGTGGGGGAAACGGTGTAGTCATCAAAGCGGCAGAGAATAAATGGTTAAAAGGTTCTCTGAAAATGGTACCAGCAACACTTGTAGAGTGACCTGGCATAAGATATAAGGTACACATAGACAAATATAAGAGAAAAAGAGAATGAGAACAAAGAGAAAGAGAGGGAGGGAGGAGAGACGGATAAAGAAAGAAAAAGAGACGTAGAGAGGGAAGATGAGGAGAAAGGAGAAGGAAAGAGAGAAAAAGAGAAGGGTTGGATGGTGGGGAAAGAATAGAGAAAAGTGAGAATGAAGAGCCAGAGAAGATGAGACAAGGGTAAGAGAGAAAAGGAAGCAAGGTAGAGAAAGAGAGAGAAAGCAGGGAGAGAGGAGGCGGAGGGAGAAAGCAAAAGAGAGGAAAGATGAGAGGAAAGGGGAAGGGAGGAGACAAAAGAAGAAGGGCGGAATGGAGAGAAAAGAGTAGAGAAAGAGAGAATAAAGAGATAGAGAAAATGAGAAAAGGAAAAGAAAACTGAAAGGAAAGAGAAAATTAATTTCTGATCCTTCCTTTGTTGCTTAGTAACAACTTTTGTTTATGCCCCGCCATTACCTCAGATAAATAATGGACAATTTACTGAATAGGAAGGACAATAAAAGAACAGATTTCGGGAAGACAGAATATGAAGATAATTCCATACAGACTGTGGGGAAAATAGAAACGGCCTACCTCGCAAACGTTCTCGCATCTTCCTGGCCTGTGGGTTGAGAAAGGAAAGAAAAGATTCAAAATGGCGTCCGTGACTTTTAATATTCACGGTCTCGTGCAGTCACGCAAAGTCGCGTTACACACATGCTAATGAGGTGTGTCTGGGCTCCATAAAAGCAGGTTGCTTGGAGACATTGGCAGACCAACATTTCACCCGTGCTTGGTGTACATCGTTTTGCGTTGCAGACATTTTCAGACGGAAAGAGTTGCGTCCCTTACACTGTTTAAGTCGACTCATTTTGCTACAAGCTATTTCGGCAATTATTTCAGCATGGACAGATTCGACTTGAAGTTAATACCAGAGTTCGACGGCTCCCCCGCTGCCCCGTCTGTGGTCGAGTGGTGTAAAATTAAAGATCCCGCACTGGTTATCCCTCTTAGACTCACCAAAGGAGCTTACGCTGTGTATCAGCAGCTAAGGGATGACGCAGACTTGGAGGAAATAAAACAAGCTCTATACGCAGCATTTGGTGCGGACCCCTTTGTCGCCTGGAGGCAGTTTACCGAACGACGGCTTGGACCGGATGAAACAGTAGATGTCTTTCTGGCCGATTTGAGGAAGCTGGCCGCACCGTTCGGTGGAGCAAGCGACCAAATCCCTAGGATGCGCCTTTCTGGCAGGACTCCCAGACAACGCAAGTCGACTGCTACGAGCATCGTCAAGGCTCAATGAGCTGGGGCTAGACGAATTACTGGCCAGAGCCCGGAATATTCTAAAAGATGACGCGGAGCCGGCCTCAGCAGCTGTGGAAGCACCCGCACCGCCAACTGAGGACATAAGGTGCTATAAGTGTGGCGGACTGAACCACTTCTCCAAAGACTGCCGAAGCCGTGCGAAGGATACGCATAAACCGAGGAACACGGAGACGTATGCGTTGCTACAGGTGCGACAAGCTGGGCCACGTAGCAAGAAGCTGTCCGGGAAACGGGCAAGGGGAGGCTACAGCGCCAGTCTTCTCCCCAGATCGCCGCTGAACAAGGCGCTACCCGCAGTGAGCGTGCGGATTAACGGGCGTGAGCGCTTCGCGCTTGTTGACACCAGGTGCACCCAGACCCTTGTGCACAAGGCATGTTGTGACACGTGGGACAAGAAAAATATTCCAGTTCTGATTGTTGGCGGGGGCTCGCTAACCTCTTGTGGAGTGAGCGTCATCCGCGCAAGCATCGGCGATGGGCCTGCAGTAGCTGTACAAGCCCTGGTCGTGGACGGAGGGCTGCTCGGCTATGATCTGCTCCTGGGAATGGACGTCATCAAAAAATTGGATGGTGTCCGTGTTGACGAAGAGGGTCGGGCGCGTTTCACTGAAACAGGTCTAGCTCTAGGTGCAGCAATGGAGCTGGAACGGCCTGACTTTCGTGCGGAGTTCGACCAGCGCACAAAGTCCTGGACGGTATCTTGAAATGGTCAGACGATCAACCGCCAGAGAAGCTGTACAACAGTGTGCCGGAGTATAAGATCCCCCGCGAGCTCGTGCGGAGTACGACAAGGAATTGCGAGCCTGGATTAATAACGGGTGGTTGGTTCCTTATCCAGAGAAGGAATTGGGGCCCCCAAAGGGCCTGATCCCGCTAATGGCGGTTCTCCAGCACAACAAACAAAAAGGTGAGGCCGGTGCTCGACTATCGAGAACTGAACGAGCACGTGGACCCTTTACTGCCCGCGCGGACGTGTGTACCGAGAAGCTAAGGGAATGGCGACAAGCAGGATCAAATGTATCTGTGCTGGATCTTCGCAAGGCATACCTTCAAGTGCGTGTGCACCAATCACTGTGGCCCTATCAAACCGTGCTTTTATCAAGGGGCAACGGTATTGCCTGACCCGCATGGGGGTTTGGACTCAATGTGGCGCCATCGATTATGCAGATGATTGTTGACGCCATTCTAACGAAGGATGAGCGCATACAGCGGGCAACATCTGCATATATTGATGACGTGTACGTGAACGAGGGAGTCGTATCTGCGGCGCGCGTGAAGGAGCATCTCTACAACTTTGGCCTCCTCAGCAAGGAACCGGAGAGACTACAGGATGGTGCACGGGTGCTTGGTTTGCAGGTCTGGGAGAAGATGACGTCCTGTATTGGAAACGGGGAAACGAACTCCCAGACATGCCCTCCGTTGTCACGCGGCGAAGCATATTTTCCTTGTGCGGCAAGTTAGTTGGACACCTTCCTGTAGGTGGCTGGCTGCGTGTTGCGGTGGCGTTTATCAAGCGGAGAGCATCTGACGTCACCACTGGATGGGATGACGAAGTTCACGACGCCCCTCTCAACACCATGATGAAGGAGGTCCTCGCTAGAGTACGCAAGGAAGACCCAGCGCGGGGCAGATGGTGCGTTGACAGCCAAGACCTCTGTGTGTGGGTTGACGCAAGCTCTCTTGCAACCGGCGTATCGATAGTTCACGATGGAGCCGTGGTAGAAGATGCTTGCTGGTTACGTCCAGAAAGGGACTCCCCAGCACATAAACCTAGCGGAGCTCGATGCTGTCATCAAGGGGATCAACTTGGCGATCCTCTGGAAGTCGACCACCTGCGTCTGTTCACTGATTCCGCTTGCGTTTATAAGTGGATCTCTGATACCTTGACCGGGAGGGCCAGGGGTGCGGACTAAAGCCACCAGCGAGATGCTTATCCGACGACGGCTCGACACGATCGTGAATTTAGTGCAAGAGTACGCACTGACAATGGAGGTGTCCCTGGTCAAATCTAGCCTCAACAAAGCAGATTGTTTAACGAGGGTGCCGCAAAGGTGGCTTGACGCCGCTAAGAAAGCCATTGAGCCCGTGCAACCAGCCTGCGCTGCGTCCGTGAGTCCCGTTCGATTTAATCAAATCAAAGAAGTCCACCAACAAAGTGGGCACCCTGGAGTCAAGCGGACACTGTATTTCGCCAAGTTGGTTGACCCAGGAGTACAAAAGACAGACGTCAGGAGAGTGGTCAGAAGCTGCGTGGCGTGCCAGTCTATAGACCCAGCACCCGTTCGCTGGAAGAAAGGGCAGCTGAGCGTGAGGAACCACTGGAGCCGGCTGGCGATAGATGTTACTCACCACAACGGCGAGCATTTCCTGACACTCATTGATTGTGGTCCATCCAGGTTTGCGATATGGCGACTGCTGCGTCGGCAAGATGCAGCCACTATCATCCGTCAGTTAAACAGCATCTTTCTTGAACGTGGCCCCCAACGGAGATATTAACCGACAATGGCACCGCATTCACCAGCGAGCAGTTCGAGAAGTTTGCGGATGGCTGGGGAGTGCACTTACGGTTCCGGTGCGCCCACGTACCGAGTGGAAATGGAATCATCGAGCGGAACCACAGGACCGTCAAGACCATCGCAGCCAGGACGGGCTGCACGGTGTCTGAGGCGGTCTACTTATACAACGTGACCCCGAAGGATGATGTCTCACCCTCTACGGCGCCAGCAGACACATTGCATAGGTACCACGTTAGAGTGAAGGGCATAGAAACCAACCCACTGACGGAACTGAAAGTAACCGGAGAGAGGCTGAAGAAAGGCGATGTCGTCTGGATTAAAAATCCGCACAGCAAGTGCACCACGAAATACGGAATCGGACGCGTCACTGAGGTGATCAGCCCACAGGCGGTACGGGTCGACGGTGTGCCCCGTCACGTTAAGGACCTGCGTCCGTCGACGCAGTTGCAACCACCGCTGGACGATGAGAGCGAATCGGAATCTGAGACCAGTGAGGCATCGCTCTGGTTCACGCCAGCCCCATCAGGCAGTGACTCGGATATCAGTAGCCTTCCAAGGGACGCGGTGTCTTTCGACCCTCAGACCTCAGACAGGAGCACAAGCAACGATGAGGCTCGCAGCGTCCCTCTTCGAAGAAGTACCCGGCGCAAGCGATCACCACCTCCCTGTCAACTCTGTGATCATGAGATCAGGGGGGAGTGTGGGGAAAATAGAAACGGCCTACCTCGCAAACGTTCTCGCATCTTCCTGGCCTGTGGGTTGAAAGGAAGAAAAGATTCAAAATGGCGTCCGTGACTTTTAATATTCACGGTCTCGTGCAGTCACGCAAAGTCGCGTTACACACATGCTAATGAGGTGTGTCTGGGCTCCATAAAAGCAGGTTGCTTGGAGACATTGGCAGACCAACATTTCACCCGTGCTTGGTGTACATCGTTTTGCGTTGCAGACATTTTCAGACGGAAAGAGTTGCGTCCCTTACACTGTTTAAGTCGACTCATTTGCTACACAGACTCAAGAACAGATGGAGATAAAGCCACTAAGACGTAAGGGGTTACTGGGAGTGAAAGAGAATGAGAAGACTTTAGTGAGGGGAAAGGACAATAAAAGAACAGAATTCAGGAAGACAGAAGATGGCGATAAAGCCACTATGACGTAAGGGGTCACTGGGAGTGAAAGAGAATGAGAAGACTTTAGTGAGGTGAAAGGGCAATAAAAGAACAGATTTCAGGAAGACAGAAGATGGCGATAATGCCACTAAGACGTAAGGGGTTACTGGGAGTGAAAGAGAATGAAAAGACTTTAGTGTGGAGAACGAATAATAAAAGAACAGAATTCAGGAAGACAGAAGATGGCGATAAAGCCACTAAGACGTAAGGGGTTACTGGGAGTGAAAGAGAATGAGAAGACTTTAGTGAGGAGAAAGGACAATAAAAGAACAGATTTCAGGAAGACAGAAGATGGCGATAATGCCACTAAGACGCAAGGGATTACTGGGAGTGAAAGAGAATGAGAAGACTTTAGTGAGTAGAAAGGACAATAAAAGAACAGAATTCAGGAAGACAGAAGATGGCGATTAAGCCACTATGACGTAAGGGGTTACTGGGAGTGAAAGAGAATGAGAAGACTTTAGTGAGGGGAAAGGACAATAAAAGAACAGAATTCAGGAAGACAGAAGATGGCGATAAAGCCACTATGACGTAAGGGGTCACTGGGAGTGAAAGAGAATGAGAAGACTTTAGTGAGGTGAAAGGGCAATAAAAGAACAGATTTCAGGAAGACAGAAGATGGCGATAATGCCACTAAGACGTAAGAGTTTACTGGGAGTGAAAGAGAATGAGAAGACTTTAATGTGGAGAACGAATAATAAAAGAACAGAATTCAGGAAGACAGAAGATGGCGATAAAGCCACTAAGACGTAAGGGGTTACTGGGAGTGAAAGAGAATGAGAAGACTTTAGTGAGGGGAAAGGGCAATAAAAGAACTGATTTCAGGAAGACAGAAGATGGCGATAATGCCACTAAGACGTAAGGGGTTACTGGGAGTGAAAGAGAATGAGAAGACTTTAGTGTGGAGAACGAATAATAAAAGAACAGAATTCAGGAAGACAGAAGATGGCGATAAAGCCACTAAGACGTAAGGGATTACTGGGAGTGAAAGAGAATGAGAAGACTTTAGTGAGTAGAAAGGACAATAAAAGAACAGAATTCAGGAAGACAGAAGATGGCGATAAAGCCACTAAGACGCAAGGGATTACTGGGAGTGAAAGAGAATGAGAAGACTTTAGTGAGTAGAAAGGACAATAAAAGAACAGAATTCAGGAAGACAGAAGATGGCGATAAAGCCACTAAGACCCAAGGGATTACTGGGAGTGAAAGAGAATGAGAAGACTTTAGTGAGGAGAAAGGACAATAAAAGAACAGAATTCAGGAAGACAGAAGATGGCGATAAAGCCACTAAGACGCAAGGGATTACTGGAAGTGAAAGAGAATGAGAAGATTTTAGTGAGGGGAAAGAATAACAAAAGAACAGAATTCAGGAAGACAGAAGATGGCGATAAAGCCACTAAGACGCAAGGGATTACTGGGAGTGAAAGAGAATGAGAAGACTTTAGTGAGTAGAAAGGACAATAAAAGAACAGAATTCAGGAAGATAGAAGATGGCGATAAAGCCACTAAGACGCAAGGGATTACTGGAAGTGAAAGAGAATGAGAAGATTTTAGTGAGGGGAAAGAATAATAAAAGAACAGAATTCAGGAAGACAGAAGATGGCGATAAAGCCACTAAGACGTAAGGGGTTACTGGGAGTGAAAGAGAATGAAAAGACTTTAGTGAGGAGAAAGGACAATAAAAGAACAGAATTCAGGAAGACAGAAGATGGCGATAAAGCCACTAAGACGTAAGGGGTTACTGGGAGGAAAGAGAATGAAAAAGACTTTAGTGAGGAGAAAGGACAATAAAAGAACAGAATTCAGGAAGACAGAAGATGGCGATAAAGCCACTATGGGAACTGGGATGGAGAATAAAGACTCACTGAAAAGGACAACAAAAAGGGATTTCAGGAAGACAGAAGATGGCGATAAAGTCACTAAGACGTAAAGGGATTACCGGGAGGAAGAGAATGAGAAGATTTTGCTGAGGAGAAAGGACAATAAAAGAACAGAATTCAGGAAGACAGAAGATGGCGATAAAGCCACTAAGACGCAAGGGATTACTGGAAGTGAAAGAGAATGAGAAGATTTTAGTGAGGGGAAAGAATAACAAAAGAACAGAATTCAGGAAGACAGAAGATGGCGATAAAAGCCACTAAGACGCAAGGGATTACTGGGAGTGAAAGAGAATGAGAAGACTTTAGTGAGTAGAAAGGACAATAAAAGAACAGAATTCAGGAAGATAGAAGATGGCGATAAAGCCACTAAGACGCAAGGGATTACTGGAAGTGAAAGAGAATGAGAAGATTTTAGTGAGGGGAAAGAATAATAAAAGAACAGAATTCAGGAAGACAGAAGATGGCGATAAAGCCACTAAGACGCAAGGGATTACTGGGAGTGAAAGAGAATGAAAAGACTTTAGTGAGGAGAAAGGACAATAAAAGAACAGAATTCAGGAAGACAGAAGATGGCGATAAAGCCACTAAGACGTAAGGGGTTACTGGGAGTGAAAGAGAATGAAAAGACTTTAGTGAGGAGAAAGGACAATAAAAGAACAGAATTCAGGAAGACAGAAGATGGCGATAAAGCCACTATGACGTAAGGGGTCACTGGGAGTGAAAGAGAATGAGAAGACTTTAGTGAGGTGAAAGGACAACAAAAGAACAGATTTCAGGAAGACAGAAGATGGCGATAAAGTCACTAAGACGTAAGGGATTACCGGGAGTGAAGAGAATGAGAAGATTTTGCTGAGGAGAAAGGACAATAAAAGTATAGACTTCAGGAGGACAGAAGATGAAGACAATTCCACTAGATCTCAAGTGGTTGCAGGAAGACATTCTTGAGGAGAAAGTATAATAGAACAAGAGGTTTCAGGAATTCAGAAGATGGTGATTTGCGCTGCGTTTAAATTTTTGAAGGTCGTTGGTGGTAGGGAAGCAAGAAATCTGAAGGAAAGTTCCACAGGTAAGAAGTGTGAGAACAAACCATTAGAAGGGAACATACAATTTCATTTAGCTAGAAGGTGAGACCTAATTGCCAATCTAGTCGTACGCTTAAATTCATGAAAAGCTCTTCAGAATAATTGTTCATTAAAATATTTATAGAAAAGGCTCAGGGGATCCATATCACAACAATGAGAAAGTTTCGTGTCTCTCCAAGACATTGGTGATCATGGCCCACCACAATTTCCGGTCCTTTGTACCTCTTAAAGTTTGTATTTATATTGTCTCTCTTAAATCCTGTTTTACTTAAGCTCGCTAGATAAGCCATACGTTGTTTTCCTCTTTCCTTCAACCAGTCCTTCAATTTTCCAAGCCCCCTGTCCTTATTATGTGATCTAGAGAATTTCAACTGCCTTGATGTCAAATATTATTTTTGTTTTTATTTTTGTTATGGTCCGGTTCCTTGTACCACGGGTGATAGTCCAAGGTAGAACCAATAAAGAACTCGAACACAGGTATGGAATAACACAGATATATTACAAACAGGAATATATACAGAGAAGTAGAAAGTGTTAGTATGAACAATCAGGTTTACTAGAGAGAACAATGTAGTCTCGACCAGTATCACTATTCCAATGTCTTGCAGTAATTGTCTGAACGCGACTCTGTTTCGGACTGCCTCTGACTCGACTCTTGACTCGACTTGAACTACTGACTCGACTTGAACTACTCCCGAGGAGCAGTATTTATTAAGTATGGAATAGTCCATTATTATTATTATGGGTAAGATCCCATAACAATTTTATATACAACTTCGCCGTTGCTCACATGTTCGGTGAATGGTGTCCTCACCATCCTTCTGTAGAACTACATTTCTGTTGCTTCAAGTCTCTTCATCTGTGAGGAGATTGTCCAGCATTCACTGCCATATAGGCGGACGCATATTACAAAAGAGTTTAGTATTCCTTTTCTTGTTTCTAACGAAATTTTCCTGTTTCTTAATATGTTACTGAGCTTTTGAAAGACATTTTTCGCTGTTCCAATTCCCCTTCGAATTTCGTTGTTGTCCTCTGTTAAAACACTTCCCAGATATTTAAATTGTTGAACCTGTCTGATTTTGGCCTCCCCAATTTGTAATTTGCATGTTGGACTGTCCCTTTTGCTGACAATCATGCATTCTGTCTTCATACACACCAAGTCCGAAAATATCATCTGTTGTTTGTATACAAGAAAAATGCATTTAAAAGACTTAACAGAAGTATCTGGTCCTTCATTTTGAATGAAATATGTATTAAAGAAGAACTACTGTACAAATGCACAATTATATATAGTACGGAGCATGGTAAAAAGTCTTGTGAGCCGACAGAAATCTCTCCTTGCCCCTATTAAGCGTCGGAAGATGTTATGGAATGAAACTCAACACAGTCACTTCTTCATCTGTGAGATTGTCCAGCATTTACTACCATATAGCAGGACATATATGTCACAGTTCAGTACTCTTTTCTTTGTTTCTAATAAAGTTTTCTAGATATGAACAGAATGAAATAGATAGATAGATAGATAGATAGATAGATAGATATGAACAGAATGAAATAGATAGATACGATTAAATACAATTATTATATTAAAGATAGATAGATAGATAGATAGATATAAATAAGCCAAGATAGATAGATAGATAGATAATGAACAGATTGAGATAGATAGATAGATAGATAGATAGATAGATAGATAGATACTCGGAAAACTCACTCTGATCGTTGTGTTAAGAAAAGAACTCCCGAATTTGTTGATGCTGCCTTGAGGAAGTGGTGTTGCCCTGGGACAAGTTAATCCCTATTATCTGGTTTATTTACAAAAATATTTGAAAATTTATAACATTCTGAAAACTAATACAATTAAAAACTAATGCAATAATCATCATTTACTTAAGTCACTATCATAATGAAATAAATCTGAAAAGTTTTTATTTATAAATTTATAAACAATTTACTCAATTATTAATATATATGAACCAACTATAAGGAAATCCTTATCATTTACCACTTTATAAAATTCGCCGATGTTTTGCCAACCGTTCCAATAAACAATCTAATAAATAAATAATCTTTTTTATCGTTTTTATCAATTCTCAAAAACAAAGAAAATCTATAAATTCACTTTCGTATGTTTAGGTTTATTAAAATTCTAATCATCACTTTTTAAAACAATAAACTACTTTACTATCTGTTTTGGGGATAAACAAAGCTTCAAAGACATTTTTCTCTCTATACTTTCCCCTTGTTACCTTCTAACCAGCCCCCCCCTCTAAGTACTTCCAGTGATAAACAAAGATCTTAATAGTCCCCCCCTCTCAATCCACCTTCATTAGCCTCAGAACATTTATGTCCCGTACAGTGATAATAACATCGCCTGTAATATTAATGCAGTGATAATGGTCACTCTCTAAAAAAAGAAAAAAAACGACATTAAATTATTAAATTGGTCTCACATACACCACACTCTCACGTAGGTTAACTTGTCACTTAGTCGAAACTTAGTGCAATTCGCGCACAGTTCGATAATAAAATCAGTTACAAGCTACAAGTCATCGTGGTCGAGGGCTTGAGCGAGCTGGTCTTGTTCAAATTATATTGGTTCTCTTTAGATAACACGTTATCTCCCAGAAACTGTAACTAAGGTCTGCTCAGCATAGTTGCAGTATAAACCACAGGTGGGCTTGGTGGTTGTTGAGCGTCTGCAAAAGGGATTGCCTATCCTCGAATACGAGTGGGTAGCTATTATTATTATTATTATTATTATTATTATTATTTCTATTATTACTATTATTTTCTTTGATTTCTGGCATTTACAGATTTCTTTCCGGGTTCCGCCCAGGAACCTAAGGTTAGAAATGGCATCATGACACTTTCCACAGTAAAAAAATAAAAAAATAAAAAAAAAATATTACATAGATAAAGCACTTCGTAAAGTGTGGGCTGTACTTGTCAGAACAATTTTTTTATTTCTTTGAGGCATGGACTTCCAGGAATCCCTTCAATTAGTCTACTAGAATCTTTCCCAATCAATCCGAGGGCTCCAACTACAACAGGGATTGTTGATGTTCCCATGTGCCACATTTTTGAGATTCCGATTTCAAGGTCCTTGTATTTTGATAGCATTTTGAATATTTTCAAAGATACATTGCAGTCTGCAGGGACTGCCATATCAATAAGGAGGCACGTTTTTCATTTGTGGTCTTTAATAAAAATGTCTGGGCGGTTGGCTTTGATTGTTCTGTCAGTGTGTATTGTGTAGTCCCATAGAATTGTAACAGGTCCTATCTCCGTAACCGGGTCTGGGTGGTGTTCATACCAGTTTCTTTCAGTTTCCTTCCCGTAGAAGCTGCAAGTTATTATTATTATTATTATTATTATTATTATTATTATTATTATTATTACCCCTTAATAATAATTCTAACAAAGTTTCAAAACTGGTGCCATAACAAAAAAAAAACAAAAAAAAAAACTACAACACATATCAATTCGGTGTTTAATCTCCTTCAAAGTAGTCCCTTCTTAAGTCACTATCTTAAACATTGCCTAGGAGTGAAGTTAGTTAAAATAATAGTGGTGATACAACTGTTTTTTTACTAGCATTTCCCTCTCACCAACTCCCTCCAACTACTTCCAGTGATAAACAAAGCTCTTGATAACCCTCCCCACCAATCGGCCTTCACTACCCTCAAAACACTTAAGCTATTCCCATACGGTGATAATAATTGTAATATTATGATAATGATAACCACTCCTAATAAAAAAAAAATAATTATTATGTTGGTCACCCATAAACCATACTTTCATCTCCCTCCCACTTTCACTTAACCTATGCCCGTCGCCTCTGATATCAATGTGCGGTGATAATAGCCACTCGCATTTTTTAATGTAGTGTAAGCTTGACCAATGTCTAACATTTTGAATTTCATGTAAACTGGACCTATGTCAATTGCTTTGTCTCTGGTAACAGCCGGCACGGCTTCCACTTTTTTGACTCTAATTTAAACCGAACAAATGTTTACATTATTTTTTACTCAAAACCGCAATCATGTCTACCTTTTTAAATTCTGTGTCAATCTGACCTATGTCTAGCTATTTATTAATTAAAAGTGAATTGATTTTTTGGCCGATAAAACTTGAAATAACCTAAAAAAAATAATAATAAAAATAGCGAGCGTTCATATGTCGTTAAAATAAGCGACCTAATGTAACAATTCGTAAGTCAAATATACATTTTAGATTTAACCATAACTGACGCTACAAATAGACGACTGGTTCCACTTAATGTGGCCGAGTGGTTAGAACGTTTGCTTTCTGACCATGAGAGCCGAGTTCGAACCCTACCTTGATCGATTAGTCAGGAAGGAGACCTCCTGATGTTAGCGGAATGGATCGAGGTTGATCCCAGCGTGTGGCACCTTTGGAAAGTGCCTGAAAAACCATACCAAGTCTTGTCAGTGAAATTCGGTAGACGGAACTCTTGTGGGCCGTCGATAGCTGTGCTAGCACAAACCACAAGTCATCATGGCCGAGGGCTTGAGCGTGCTGGCCTTGTTCAAATTGTTAGATAACACGCTCTCTCCCAGAAACTGTAACTAAGGTATGCCCAGAATAGTTGCAGTATAAATCACAGGTGGGCTCTGTGGGTGTTGAGCAAACACAAATGTGCCTGAGTGAGCGTCTGCAATAGGGATTGACAAGCTGCCCTAGTAGGCAGGTATCTTCGAATAAATTACCACTTAATAATAATTCTAAAAAAGTATCAAAACTTGTGCTATAACAAGAAAACTACAATAAATATCAATTCGGCATTTACTCTCCTTCGAAGTAGCCCCTTCTTAAGTCAATATCTATCTATCTATCTATCTATCTATCTATTTCTCTCTCTCTCTCTCTATCTATCTATCTATCTTTTGTGACGTACGGTGGCCGTTAATAATTAAGTATAACTCAAGAGTTCAATGTTAAAATAAAACCGTATTTAATTCCAATCGCAAATCAATACTTAACAAAAAAAAAGTAAAAGTCAACCAAAGATAATTAACCATTTCAGTGAATACCTTGTTAGTAGCGCGGCTCGGCTTAACGTCCGGTAAATCCTAAATCAAAACCCAAATCATCGACGCACAATAATTCACACTAATTCGACTGGATAGTTCCGCTCAATAATCACTGCAGTCAGTAGCCTGACATCGGTATTTATACACCTGGCGGAAAACATATATTCATAAGTCCAGAGTGTCACGTTCGAACCTGGGTGTCTGTAGTTACTCATTTTCTTCCCATATGACAGTCACACACCTTAATTTTTAATCGAATTTACCCCATGCAAGGCAGTAAAGCCACTAAGACACAATGGGTTACTGGGTGTGAAGGAATTAGATAACAGAAAACATTATGAAGGAACAAGAACAACAGCAGCTTCCTGGAACTGCTTTTTTGGGGTAGCGAGCAGCTCCCTTTTCGCATTCTCTTGGATTTCCTCGATGTCTTGAAATCGTGTTCCTTTTTATTTGAATTTGATTTTTGAAAGAGGAAAAAGTCAGAAGAAGCGAGACCTGAAGAATATGGTGGTTGTCGGATTTGGGGAATGTTGTTATTGGTCCCAAACCGCTGCACAAACCATGGTCCAGGCTTAACCGTAATCCTTCCCACCTATCCTCATAAACTTCACTTCTTACCTCCTATTCTTACCGTTCATACAACAGCCTCCTTCAGTAATCCTCTATCTTGAGTTTCATGGAACTGCATTTTTGGGATAGCGAGCAGCTCCCCCGTTGCATTTTCTTGTATTTCCTCTGTTACAGTTTTTTGTGTATATATACATGTAACTAGTGAGTTAGTCAAAATGACTTAACTCCCTTTATAGTCTACCAATAGAAGGTTAACCAATCAGAAGCCGCAGAACATTGTATCCGTCGTGTATAAAGGCGGCCATTTTTGTTTACCCTACCCGAATGACCAGTGCCAACTTGTCCGGCGAAGATGACAGAAGGAAGAACTACGCTTTCCTAATTCACTGCTAACCTCTGGATTCTATACTCGAAACGACCGTCAAAATGTCTAACACCTCGACCTCCTAAAATCTTGTTCCTTTCAATTTGGATTTGATTTTTGGAAAGAGGAAAAAATCAGAAGAGGCGAGACCTGGAGAATATGGTTGTTGTCGGACTTGGGGAATGTTGTCCTTGGCCCACAGTGCTGCACAAACCATGGTCCATGCTTAACCGTTATCCTACCCACCTATCCTCATAAAATTCTTAAAATCTTGTTCCATGGTCACTGATGGAAACTCTGTTGTGTGGTGAGACGACCACATTCGACACACTTTCCTTCCAAGCACTGTTATAAACAACGAAAATGAATGATAACGGTAATGATAAGCAACTTGCCAATCCAGCTCCAGGCATGTTTACCTGCCACCTATGCCCGAGGACTTGTCGCTCGCGGATGGGGCTGCTATCTCACTTGTCAGCCCACAGAAGACGGACGGCGATGGAAGGACAGTGTCGTAATGACGGACAGCATTGTAATAAATATTGCCTGCTCACCAAACAAGTTGTAGAACGTTTTCTGATTCCCGATGCTTTTCGTCTACCGCTCCCTTTTAATTACTTTAACTGAAAGCAGTACTTGTTCGAATCAATCGTTTTGTAGTATTCGTGCCAGAAAATAACAGATGGTCAGGATCGAATTTCATGTCAACGAGGAAAATTTTTTTCTAAGAGAAGTTGGTATATGGCGGCCATCAAAATGTTCTGGGCTCATCTTAAGGGATACTCTATTTTTCACTGTCAAACCAGAGGATAGAGGTTTGACTGGAAGGTGATCTCATTACCACCAAGTGTATATTCGCGCGTTAAAGGATGTCTGTAACTGCCCCCTGACAAGTAAAGAGGTGGTCGACACAGCTGTGATTAGGATGTGCACACATGGGGTAATCGAAGTGCAATCACAGTGTCAAATCGATTCTTGACTTCTTAAAGAGTTACCTGGAATTTGTTTTTATTTACAAATATCAAAACTGAAAATCTGCTTACGTCATTGATATTTGCGTATTACGACGAATTGAGTGAAAAACAATATTACTAGTAAGCAGTACAATTTAGGAAAAAAGCTATTAAATATATTTCCCAGCTAAAATTGTTTAAGAAATTGAATGAAAAGTTCGCTTTATGGTTAAGGCTTCTAAAATTTGTAGTAGTAGTTATTTTTAATAGGTCACGAAAGCAGAAATCACTTTGAAGACAGAAGACACTTTATGTCTAAACTCCATCAGAAAAACAAGAAAATAGCTGGGTTAGCGATGACGCAGAACATCAATGTCGATATTTTTAACAATGGTGTACAAGGCTTGAGAACAACTCCAGGTAG